CACTTCCACATAGGGGAATCAAATATGGAATAAGTGAGTACGCCAAGCCATACGTTATAAGCCAGCAACCAGCATTTCCCAGAACTAACCATCCCCACAGACACAGCCACAGGACTTACAAACACGCTCACTGCAATGACTCTTTAGTCACACCTTTACTGAGATCCCAGCCCAGCTCTCTTTGGAAATAACAGAACCTAAAACACATCCTATAAAACATGCTAATAGATGTTTGTCCCCCTTGGCACTTACATAATGTTTTTACTATGTTGATTTCCATTCACTCAGTTTTGGCTTTTTTCTTCCATATGTTTCCTATATGTATCTTTGTTTTTTTGTTTTTTTGAGATGGAGTCTCGCTTTGTTGCCCTGACTAGAGTGAGTGCTGTGGCATCAGCCTTGCTCACAACAACCTCAAACTCCTGGGCTCAAGAGATCCTCCTGCCTCAGCCTCCCGAGTAGCTGGGACTACAGGCATGCACCACCATGCCCAGCTAACATTTTCTATATATATCTTAGTTGGCCGATTAATTTGTTTCTATTTATAGTAGAGACGGGGTGTCACTCTTGCTCAGGCTGGTTTCGAACTCCTGACCTCCAGCAATCCTCCCGCCTCAGCCTCCCAGAGTGCTAGGATTACAGGCGTGAGCCCAGCCCCTATATGTATCTTAATTCCCCCATTAGTCTGGGGCTTCTTGAGGGGAGGGACATTTCTTCCTATTCATTGCACAAAAATCAACATAGAATGAACACATTCAATAAACAGTGCTAAGTGTTTCCTCTCATAGTTAAAATGTGCCCACAGCTAATTTATCCCTCCTCAGAGTTCTTGGATCTGAAGGTGCTACCACAGCCTCTCCTCTGCTGATAGAAAGATTTATGTTCTTCCTCAAATTTGTTTTGCTCTGACTAGGTCCCTTATCTTTCTAAAACCTCCAAGTCATTTTTTATTCCTTGCCCAGTGAATACTGAAGATTCACATAAAAAAGTATTTCTCCATACTTCAAAGTCTAGTTCTTGGTAGCAACTAATGAACATGTATTGAGTGAAGTACTTTATGAAATAGGTTAGCCTTCCTAACTTCAAGGAGTTTAATATAGGTGCTCACCTTTCATTAATTCATTGCCATGGATTAGAACCCAGAGGCCTCAGTCATTAGCCTCAAACCTGTTTTGGGATATTACAATTTTATTTAAAAAGCCCAAGGATCAGAGCTTTGCAAACAGGTCTTATAAGTTGTAATTCTACTGACTTGATTCTCCTTCCTGACACTGCTCGCTGGTTGCTGCAAGCCCAGCAAGGCCTTTGCAAGCTCCACAACCTACATACCACCCAGGCTGGGGTTGGCATACCCGCTTATTGCTGTGGCTCGCCAAAGAAAGGGAAGGGCCTGTCTGGGAAGGAGAGGTCAGAGTCCAGAGGAGTTCTGTGGCAGCACATAGTCTTACCGCATCAAACTCTGCTTGATCATCCTCAGGTAGGTCGCTGGTTTCATAAACATCTGGCTCATTTCTGGCCTGCGGGTATAAGCAGTGACCACCCCACCTCACTACCCAGCATCCAGCACCCCTTATCCCACTCCATTTGAACAAGCTAATGGTGAAGGCAGGCTGTGATGCCAGGACTCTGTCCTTTCTCCTCCACCTGCTGTGTGAACAGCATGTCAGTTCGCATGTAACAGTGGGGACAACTGGGACTTGATGGTAAATGGTGTTAAGTGATAACAAAGATGTTATCCTGAATCTGGAGGGGGGAGGGTCCTTGGCAATCACCAAGTCAGAAGTAGGTGAGAGCTATCCTCAAATTAGGCCTTGTATACCACTACCCTGCCACAAGGGTGACTCAGGACCTTGGTATCCGAGGTCCTGTGCCCCAACCCCCACCCGGAGAATGCAGGCAGGGCAGCACAAAAGGATGGTACACGGCGGGGAGCATGGGGCCAGGACATAGGTTCCCTGACGAACAGAGTTTCCCATCTGGCACAAGAAGGGTTCTACCACGGTAACCTCTTCCTTGGCAGGATGAAGGCCATCACTAAGTGGCCAGGTGTGTGTGTCTGGGGGATAGGGATGGGGGATCTTATGGGGAGATTTGGGGTGGCACGGAGGCGTTGACACGGATGATATAAACACTAGGGTACAGTGGTAAGCACCCAGAGACGATTTCTGGGCCGAAAAACCGGCGACTGCCAGAATAGAGGCCTTGTGCGCCGTCCGACTGCCTGGCCCAGTCGCGTCAGAAGAGTACGGAAGGTGCTGCGGCCGGTCGGAGAGCGAGCGGCAGGAGACCATAGGGCAGAGGAGGGGTCGCGGGGTGGTTTCTGTTGGGGGCTCTTGGGAGGTCGGGGGCGCGGTCCTGGGGAGCCGAGGCCGGCCCTGTACTCACAATGCCGGGAAGGTCGGCGTATTTAGGGTCCGCCATGGCGGCGGCGAGGCAGGGCTGGGGGAACCGGGGCCTCGGTGGAGCCGGGGCCGGTATTCGGGTAGGGGAGAGGCTGGGTTCAGGTCCCCGGCTAAGGCGGCGGCAAAGGGAGCGGCAGAGTAGCAGAAAGTCTCGCGACACGAGGAGCACAGCAGAAGGGTAAAGCAAAAGTCGCGAGAACAGCCCGCTGCCACACCCCCTGGAAAGGCCGGGATTGGCGAGAACGAGGCCAGGGAACGATGTAATGGCATGGGGACGCCGCTTAGGATTGTGGGATATGTAGTCTCGGTCTACTAGGTCATGGGCGGAAAACTAAAATACCGCACCTTGGGGAGCTGTTTCATACAACTTATTTTCTTTTATTTTTACACCAAGTCTGTGAAATAACTTTTATAATTCCTGTTTTGGACTCCTAGAAATTAAGTGACTAGATAAAATCACACAGCTAGTCATGTGGCACAGCCAGAGCTTCAAAAACAAGTAAAATTTAGTAAATGCTTAGTATATGCTAGGAATGAAAAAGTTAAGTAATTTTCTCAAGTAAGTGCTGTCAGATATAACACAGGACTCCTAGTTAACTTTGAATTTCAGATAAACAACTAGTAGGGTTTTTTTTGGTTTGGGGGTTTTTGTTTTTGTTTTGTGTAAGTATGTCCCATGCCATATTTAAAACATACTAAAACACACAAAAAATATTATTTATATGAAATTCAAATTTAACTGGGCATCTTGCTTGTGTGTGTGTGTGTGTGTTTCTAATCTGGCAATCCTATCTTAAATTCATAAATAGATAAGTGGTGCCTCTGTATCTGTTTGAACACTCTGTGTTTTTACCATTTCAGTAATAATTCCCAGACCTTTAAATTTCATGTTTAAATAAAATTAAAACAACAAACTTTAAGGATAAACATAATATTGCTACCTTTTTATTTTACCAAGTAAATACATTACAGATAGAAAACCTACTATTTATTATCACCATCATTACTTGGTAGAAAAGAAGGAAGGATACACTCTCAGAATAAAAGACAGTTCTTGGAAACTTACTAAATCTGGCTTTAGTAAAACTCAACACATTGTTCTTTTGGAGGTGGGGGCATAAGTTCACCCAGTGAACTTTTGTCTCTGACCAGAACCTCCTCCTGACTGGCATTTTGAAACTCCTTCACTAAGGATGCCACCTTGGAGCCCTGAGGCCCCCAGCGTTGGGATCTTTCTGAGATGTTTCCTGAGCTTGCAGGATGCTGCAACACTTAGAAATAGTGCCAAACCAAGTGACTGAAGAGTTCCTGAGTTTGGAACTCATTGTCATTCTCTCTTCTGGCTCCTCCCCAAGCTTCTGTTTTTCCATAGTCCTACTGCCTTCCCAACCAGTTCCTTATGTTGGACCCTTTTCCTTCCATTCCCTTAGTATTTAAGGTGGGTTATAGGTGTGGGCTCAACATGGTGAAACCCACCTTAGCTGAATTCTGAGTGGTTAGGTTTTGTCTGGCCGGGCCATGGGCCTCTTATCCTTGGCCCATAGTGTCTAAGTGACCTTAAACACTCACCAGACAGTTGCTGACCAGAACCTCCATCCCCTCCTCCCTTCTCCCATCACCCTGCCCTTCCCCTTGGCCTAGAGCCTCAACTCCTGCAGTCCAACTCTCTGTTAGCCAGCAGGGGCCTGTGACGTGGAGAAAAATCAATTGAGCTAGCTTCTCGGTGGTTCTGCCCAGGTTCTGCAGCAGGAGTCTGATCCAAGGGGAGGAAGGACAAGGAATCTCTGGGCTTGGCTTTTTCTTTTTTCTCATTTTCTTTCTTTTTCTTTTTTTGCCAAGGAAGGGAGAGAAGCAGAAGACAAAGTCCTGAGAAAGGGGCTGGGATACTGCGACTCTGTCCAACAGTTACTGGGACAGGAAACACTTAAATAGGTGCCTAAACCTATCTGAAACCAAAATGCAAGTTTTACCCTAGAGGTCCTTTCAAAGCCCCTCTGGCCTTACCTATTTCCACCATCACTCTTCTTTCACTGATTTCCAACTCCCTTTCTCTCACGAAAGTTATTCCTGTCCACCATCATCCCAGCCCCAACCTAGGAGGTAAAAATAAGAATTTTATCTGCTTTTGAATTCCCATAATCCAGAATGGGAGTTTGTCCTCCCTCCAACTGGGGACGTGGTGTGTATGTTGGGGAGACAGTGGAGTGCACCTTTGGATGCAGAAGGGAAAGGGAGTAGCCAGAGCTTCCCATGACACTCCTCCCTGACAGCCACCTCCACAGGGGGGTACAGGCAGCTGTCTCCCTTGAAGGCTGAGTGGGTTGGGAGCCCTACTTCTGTGCGTGTAGGGGAGGGAGAAGAAGTGTGCTCCCAACTTGGAGAGAAGACAGTTGACCCTTTTCCCTACACAAGCGACAGGCCTGCGTCAGTCCCCTCATCCCTTCCTTAGGATGGAGTTGAGGGAGGGACGAACAGGTCGGAGATTGTGAGGATGGGATGCAGTGAGTGAGCTGGGAAGGGAAGGGGTGAGGGCAAGGTTAAGTCCGAGTGTTAGAGGCGAGGGAAGGAGGCGAGAGGAGCCGCAACGTCCCGTCATTTGGTGGTCGAAGTCTTGCGATCGCCCCCAACGAAGGGAGCCCCGCCCCGCTGCTCCATTGCGGCCCCGCCCAGGCCCGCAGCGCGGCGCTGCAGCGCAAGGGGCGGAGAGGCAGAGCGTCCAGAGAGGACCGGACGCCCAGGTCGCCTGCATCTCGCTGCCGCAGGAGGGAGAAGCGCGCCCGGCCTTGCTTCCCAGCCTTCGCCCGAGCCCCCTCAACTGCTTTCTCGGCCCCAGAGACCGAGCACCTGTCCTCCGCCTCGGCCTCAGCTGAGCGCCCCCTTTCTCGGGAGCACACACCACTCCTGCAGCCCAAGAAGTGCCCCAGCCCCGCGCCGGCGACTACCATGGCGGAGACCAACAACGAATGCAGCATCAAGGTGCTCTGCCGATTTCGACCCCTGAACCAGGCTGAGATTCTGCGGGGGGACAAGTTCATCCCCATTTTCCAAGGCGACGACAGCGTCGTTATTGGGGTGAGTGCCGCCCGAGAGAAAATTTGGGGAAGGGGTGGGAGGCTGACTCTTTCTCCTGCGGAGCCGAGCCGAAGTCTCTGCCTGTCACTCTTCGCCCCCTCCCCGCCGCTAATCCTCCATCCTCTTCGCTGCAGCCCCTCCTCTCTCCTGCATCAGGGTATCTGGGTGTGGCCTGGCCAGGCCTGTGACCAAGTCTCTACGGAGTGAGAGGGGGCTACTTCCCCACCGTCAGGAGACCCAACTCCCCTTGGGGCTCTCGGCAGCGTCCCCACCCCTTAGAGCCAGTTCTGTGTTTTTCTGATGTTTTCCCTTTCCCCCAGAGAAAGCGCATCTTCCCTTTGTTATTGGCTCAGATCTCTACCACCACCCCCCCTTTCAGGAGGGGAGGAGGAAGACTAATTAGGTGGCCTTGGTGGGAGGTGGGCAGTCCAGGGTCTCTGCGGAGGTATGAATGGGAGTGGGTTCTAGGACCAAGCCCTCCATTATCCCCTGAAGTAGTTATAGCCCTGACGTTGAGGAGGGGAGCACAGGGGAGGAGGAGGTCTAATGAAGGGTTTTCTGGGAAAGAAATACATTGATGCCACACCCAGTTTTGGGGGGAGCCTCTGGGATCCTAAAGACATGTCTGCGTTTCAGTCCCAGTACGGTAGGAAGAGGATTTCAGACTCCTCAACTGCCCTCCAAAAGAAAAATATCCAAACCCTGAGATCCTAATAAGTATTTGATTAATCATCCTTTCTCTTGATGATCCAGTAGGAAGTGGCAAGCCACCTCTACCTCATCATCACAGCCATCCCCACGTAGGAGAACTATATTTCCAGTGTGCTTGTTACTCTATGTGTATTATTTAATCCTCAGAAAAACATTCTGTAGTAGTATCAATATTTCCATTTTACAGATGAGGAAATTGAGGCCCAAAGAAGTTAAATAACTTTCTCAAGGTCATACTGTTAATTTATGTATCTGAACCCAAATCTGTGATTCCAAAGCTCCAGTCTTTTTCCTTATATCACATTGTCTCCCCAGATTTCTTTTCTAGACCCTTATCTGTGTGGGCCCAGAGGAAATTTCTTGCCCATTCTACCTTTCCTAGGTTGGTAGGGGCTTTAAGGCTGTGTGTGAGGTGAGAGGGTCTGGGCTGGAGTCCTGTAGGACTTGAGGGGCCCTGGGCCAGGAAACTGTAGCCACAGAAGGGAGGGGCATATATGAGGGCAGTCCTCAAGGTCAGGGACTCTGCTTATGTATCTTTATCCCCAGTTCTTGGCACAAAGCAGCAGGAAACATGCTTGTTAAAGGATCAAAGGAAAGAAAGGAAGTCTGGGCCTCCTGAGTCAGTGAGAATGGGACTTCGAGTAAATATGCCTTAGGGAGAGACCTCTTACCTGTCCCAAGGGTCCCAGTCTGTCACCACCCTGTACCCTCACCCACACTGTGAACTCAAATAGATGCTTGTGCTGTGTGTGTGTGTGTGTGTGTGTGTGTGTGTGTGTGTTTGCAACACACACACACGGAGAAAGCCTCTGTTTCCTTGACCTCAGGGACCTCTCAGGCCTTGTCATCTGGTCAGTCTGGGCAGGCTAAAACAAAAAGCCTGCGTCAACCCTGGAGGACCCCTCTCTGAGTAGCCTGTACAGCAAGCATTAACTATGACAGTTGGGGCTTAAGATCTTCCTGAGACATAAAGGCTAAGACAGGAGGGAGGTGATTATGGGGAGGAAATCCATAGGCTCAACTTCCTTGCCGTGGAAGGTTTTTCCAGTAAGTCCAATTCTTTTAGGCTCTCTGGGCCATCCTGATGTGGTGGGATGGGGCAGAAGGTGATGTAGAAGGGAAGGGTTGTGGTGTGGATCTGTCCAGTTAGCCCAGCTAAACAGGAGGACACCATGGGGGTGGGGAGGGAGAAAAGATGAAGAGAAACCCAGGGCTCCCCGCCAGTTCAGATTCTATCTCAGCCCCACAGCTGGTATTTCCTTGTCTGTTTTGTCTAATATTTGTAGGGCTGTACCTTCGTCTCACTCTGTGTCTTCCCTCACTCTCGCCCTCCTTGTCAATCTTTCACTTGAAGATAAATGCTTACAGGGGGCCATTTTGTCTCAGGCAACATCCTTGGAGCAGTCATTTTCCAACTTACTATTCATTCTTCATTCAGGGGAACGAGGGGTACAAAAGACATGAAGGGTCTCAGTAAAGGAAGGACATTGCCTGCCCCCTTTTCTCTTTTTTCCTCCAGCTTCCTTTGGGGACTGGTATATGGGGAATTGGCTGAGGAATTAATGGAGGAGATGCTTCAGGATGTCTGGGAAGATGAGGGAAGAGTGCAGGTGGGAGAGATCATCTCTCCAAACCCAGCCCCTACTCCTTCCTGCAATGGCTCTCCCTTTAGCCTCTGCAGCACTGCAGCTGGCTCTGGGCTCCAGAGTCCCTTATGTTCATGGGCTTTGTTCTGCTTGGTGGAGGATAGGAGAATAAGCTGGCAAGACAGCTCTGTGTGCCTTATTTCTCCCCTACTCCTCTGACTTCTCTCAGGAACCTGGGGGATGGGGCTTGGCCAAACTTAATAGCCTGAGTCATAGTAGAAGGATGTCTGGGCTACTGTCTAGGTGTGGTAGGTGTCTTGTTTTGCTCTTTGCACACTCAGAAACCAGTGTGACTTTTTCATTGGACCCATTTAAGTGTCTTTCTGTTTTTCTCTGCCTTGCTCTTTCTTAGCAGTGTCCCAATGTCCCAATGCCTGCTGTCTGGGCTGCTGTATCTGTACCAGATGTGGGAGGGATAACAAGAAACATTCTCTCTCTCTCTCTCTCTCTCTCTCTCCCTCCCCCCCTTCATTGAAGTGTCCACATGCTACCTCCCTCAGGTATTCCAGAGGTTAGGTGGGTTCTTAAGGAAGCAGGAAAGCAGGACCATCAAGTACCTCATTTGGAAAAGCTAGGTTGGTACCTGCAGGGTTGTTGAAACAGAGTCAGTATTGTTTGGGGAGGGTCTGGGATTCCTTTGATATATGAAAAGGGGAGCAGGGCTCCCTTTAGCTTTGGGGGAGTCTCATAAAGGATAATAGTGAGGGGAGGTAATGTTCCCTGTGGCCAGTGTCTCTCCAGAATTACCATGGTAACAATCCCCAGGGGTGTCACCATGGAAATCAGCATGGCACTTGAAGTTCAGCTTCTACCAAGTGCTTTACTGAGGGTTGAACAGGTTGGTCATCTTTGGACCCCTGTCCTTACCCCCTCACGCACATTCGCTCTAGTCAGCACGCATGATGGAAAACTACAGAAAAATGCTGGGGTCCGTAATGAACAAGGAGACGGCAAGGAGGTTTGGAGTGGGGTTAGAGGAGAACAAAGAACCCAGGACTGTGGGACTCTGAAGAGAGGCCCTCCAGAGAAGGCTGTGAGAGTGCTTAGACTGCTGGGGGTGGGAGAGAGATCAGACCTTGGGAGCGTTCCTAAGAGGGAGGGACTCTGTGAGTATTTCTGTTTAACTATAAGGTCTTCTTTTTTTTTTTTTTTTGAGACAGAGTCTCACTCTGTTGCCCAGGCTAGAATGAGTGCCATGGCGTCAGCCTAGCTCACAGCAACCTCAAACTCCTGGGCTCAAGCGATCCCCCTGCCTCAGGCTCCTGAGTAGCTGGGACTACAGGCATGTACCACCATGCCCGGCTAATTTTTTTTTTTTTTGTATATATATTTTTAGTTGGTCAATTAATTTATTTCTATTTTTGGTAGAGACAGGGTCTTGCTCAGGCTGGTTTCGAACTCCCGACCTCGAGCAATCCGCCCGCCTCGGCCTCCCAGAGAGCTAGGATTACAGGCGTGAGCCACTGTGCCCGGCCTCTTGTATCATTTTAAATAGCAGCAAAGAATAAAATATATGCACATGCCATAATTTAATCAATTCCTTAGGTTAACCAGTCCCCTAAATATTACTCCTTCAAGTTGTTTTCAATTTCTCATTATTATAAGCAGTGTGATAATAGGCATGCATGTAGCTAAATCTTCAGCCATGTGTGTGATTTCCATAGTATGAATTTGTGGAAGTAGAATTTCTGGGTCAAAATTTAAGCCTTTTGATTATGCATTTCTGAGTTGCCCATATGATAGTTGTATGAATGTATTCTCCTACCAGAAAAAAATGAGGGTTCTCCTTTCCCTGAACCCTCATCTACACTGGATATTACAATTAAAATTTTGTTTTCTAATTTGATAGCTGAAAAGAGATGTTACTGCTTCAGTTTCTTTTCTTGGAAAATGTTGAGCATTATTGTTTATTGAACATTTGTATTTGTTTTTTTATTGTTACTACCTAGCTATTGTCTATTTTTTTCTGTTTAGTTTTTGTCTTTTTGTTACTAATTATTATTATTTCTTAGAGATAGGGTCTTGCTCTGTCACCTAGGTTAGAGTGCAGTGGCATGATCATAGCTCACTGCAACTTTAAACTCCTGGGCTCAAGTGATCCTCTGGCCTCAGCCTGGCAAGGAGCTGGCACACACCACCACACCTGGCTAATTTTTTATATTTTTTGTAGAGATGGGTTCTGATTATGTTGTTTAGATTGGTACTCTTGCTCAATAATCTTCCCCTGCCTCAGCCTCCCAAAATGCTAGGATTACATGTGTGAGCCATCACACCCGACCTCTTTTTGCTACTGATTTATGAGAGTTTTTTATATAGTAAGACTGTTAATCTCTGTTGTAAAACTTAAGTTTTTTTATTTAAAAATTATATATTTTTATTTTAGAAAAGCTTTTTTTTTTTTTT